TTCTCCGGCAAGCTATTAGCTAACACTGGTATTGGTAATGACCCGAAAATCGTTCTCCACAAAACTGGAGCAGCAGCATTCCCTTTCTTCTACTGATTTGGGAAATAAGTGAGTAAAAACTTTCGAACCCTAGTAAGTGACGGATACATCTGTTGTGTGTTTAAACCATGCTTGTCAAAACCTCCGTTCTTGTCCTAATTCTTTCATCAGAACCGGCATCATTATACCGTCGGCTATTGACGGCACTGGAGGATGTCTTGGTTCCTGGAGGAGGAAACGGGGAGTTGCTTAACGTGATAATATTATTCCTTTCGGACTCATCTGTGGATGGTTCGATGCTTGATAGGATCCGCTTGAGCTGAGGGCGCTGACAGAGAATTCGACCATTGTTCCATTTTGGGAAAGAAAAGGAAGCTGGCATATGATCCTGCAGAAATGTATAAGCAGACTTTGCGATCGGTAGATCTTGTGTTATTGAGCTTTTCTCCATCTTCCCTCGTCTGATAGATAAAAAACAGATCAACCGCAGTCAGACAAGTTGATGAATGCAATACCAATAACAGCGTTAGAAACGCTTCAAATTCTATTTCTGGAATGTAATGTGTTGTAATTTTAAAAATAGCATTTCGTGCTTTTTTCTCCTTTTGTTTTTCCCCCTTTCGTATCCGTCCCCAACAAAATACTTTGATCTGTGAATTTTAATGCAATATAAAATAGCTGTATTTATGCAAGTTTAAGAATACGCCAAATGACACCTAATGGCATGTTTAAGTATAGCCTATTTTGCTGAAAGAAAAAACATACGTAGTACTTGCCCATGTATAGATTATGTTTTGAGTTTTAACTTTTATTTCTCATGCTTGTTATGTTAAAGTCAAAGCGGAATTTTTTTTGTTAAGGAGTAAGAGCACATCATCAATATCCTCAAATGCACACAAGCAGCGATATATGCAGTATTCAAGCCATAGACCTAACAACGAGAAACTGGGAATACGTAATTTTTACATAAATCCTATCATACCCAGACCATATAAACCCTACTATTAAATCAAGAGGCTTTCAGAACAAGAACATCAGAAAAGAAATGTAGAATGAAAAGAGCAGCTTACACTACAACGACAGTTGCAAGATGGGGTAGATCCTCGCCATTGAGGAACATCTCATACATATTGTTTAGCCAAACTGACATTGCTGTATACGCACCGCCTTGCCACATTCTGCAAAATGGCCAACGTCAAGATTGAAATCAAGCTGAGAAAGAACATGGCTAGAAAGAAACAAATTCTCCAAATACCTGTGCACATCAACAGACACCACAAGTTTATTTTTACGAAAAAGTTCAGGAAAAAGCCCCCGCTGTGTTGCTTCATTAAGAACTCGCGCAGCTCTTTGTTTCTGACCCAGCCACCAAAGTGCTTCTAGTAGTGTGTTGTAGAACCTCATTCCCAAGCCGCATCCTTCAGATTTTAATTTGTCAAAAACATACTCTACCATCTGCCAGTTAGAGTCATCATCATAATCTCCCTTGATCATCTGCCCAATCACTTGATGAATATTCGATGCCCTGTTTGTAAGCATCTCATTCAGCAACACATAGGCATCATCCCACCTGAAAGCAAGAAGCCTAAAAGGTAAGACATCACAAGACAAACAAATAAACTTTGCTTCTGTAAAACTTTCAAAATCCCATGGACCAATGATACTCATGAAAGCTTCAAGAGTAATCAAGTACCCTTGGTTTGAAGTTCTCCTGTGACCAATTGCTAAAGGCTATAAGATTAACAATGTAGTGAATGGAGAATGACGGGTACATCTTTAAGGTTGCAGAGGGCATACTGCACATATTTATTGCCAGTCCTCTTAGTTGTAAGATTCTGTGATAGAGAGTATGTATTGTCTGGAGCAGTGCAAGCAACTAATATAACATGGACTTTTTAAGAATTAAGAGTTTAGGAAGACAGATTTTACGACACTAAGGTAACATAAATTAAGAATTTATGAACATAAGAAGACTGGTAGGTTAGTTACTGAAGCTCAGTAATCCTAAATCCTTTATTGCCACTCCTCTTAGCAAATACATATCTTATGTGCTACAGGGAACATATGATGTTGGATAATTGTAAGCGTAACCATTAGCTTAAAAATTGATGGTTTACTTTAACAAATGAAAGCAAAAAAATTGTGAAACTATTGAGTGAATACTGACCTGTTACTCCTTGCATAAACAGCAAGCATCATGCAGTAGCACATAACACTGGGTAATATTCCTGAGGCTTTAATCTCTTGGAAGTGCTCCTCACACTCATTAACAAGACCTGCAACGCAGTAAACACTTAAAACTGCCTCAAGGGTCCACTCATCGGGATCGCATCTTGTCTTTTCCATCTCAACGTACGCCTTGATAGCTTCTTCAAATTGACCTCCTTGCCTAAAAGCTTCTATCATGCCATTGACTGTATGGACATTCCTGGCAACACCAGCCTTGCCCATTATTAACAAGACTGCTTCAGTCTCCCTGTATAGTCCGCCTCTTGCAAACGCATATATCAGCGAGTTGTAGCTTTCAACTGATGGTTTGCTTCCCACTTCATTCATTGTGTTGAAGGCAACAAGAGCTTCATCATACAATGCCGCTTGCCCACATGCTTCAATAACCCCTGTATAGGCCTTGGTACTAGGCACTATTCCATTCTCGTGCATGTGAAGTAAAATTTTCTTGGAATCCTCATGGAGTCCTCCCTTTCCACAAGCATATATCAACCCTTCATACGTCTCCATATTCGGCTCGATTTTCTCCTCCACCATATCATGAAACAAAGTCACTACTTCCTTAAAATACCCACCCTCCCCAAATACCTGTATGAGAATGTTATATGTAGCCGCATCTGGCTCCGTATTGCTCACTTTCATCTCAAGAAAAAGCTCTCGAACATCATCATACCTTCCATGCCTCCCATACAAATTCAACAAAATACTATAAGTAGCAGCATTCGGCATACACCCCGCAGCCTGCATCTGCCTAAACACACCCATTGACTCTCTAATCGACCCCAATTCAGCATATGCCTCCAGTAACACATTATACGACGTAATCTCAGGCAAATTCCCTCCAGCTTCCATCTCTTTAAGAAGCTCCGAGACTTTCTCGAGCTTGTCCAATTTACCAAAAGTTTCAACAAGGTAACGATAAGTGGTCATATCCGGAACAATCCCACCCTCATTCATAGTCCTGAACACCATCTCTGCCTCATCGCCTAACCCTCTACCAGCACAAGCACTAAGCAAAGTATTATAAGTAACAAGGTCAGGCTGTATTCCTTCATGCCGCATTTCGGCAAACAATCCTAATAACCCTTCCCAATCCAGCCCACCTCTAGCACAGGCATTGAGCACAGTATTGTAAGTCAAAATACTCGGCGGAACCTTATCTTTCTTCATTCGATCAAGAAATTCAAGGGATGTTTCATACTGACCGTTACGCCCGTAGGCATTGATCAATGCGGTGTAGCTGAAGACGCTGCGGACCACGCCCTGGCTAGGCATTTCGTCGAACACCTCGGCGCACTTATCCAGCAGCCCCTCGCGGCCGAGCAAGCTGATCATTATCGTGTATATGTGCTCGTTCGGCTTGCACCATATCTGGCGCTGCATATACTTGAAGAGGCGGAGCGACCGCTGCCAATCACCGCGCGCGGCGAACTCCTTGAACACCAAAGCGAAGTCGTTTAGTGACAGCTTGTTCTTGAAGATGTCGAGGCACCGAGCGATGCTGCCGCGTGGAGGGAGGCTGCTGAGCTTGTTGATTAGGGTTTCGACGTCGTAGCTGTACTTCCCCTTCTCCAGCGTCACCGACGGGTTCCCGAGGATGAGGTCCTTCGGCTTCGCCCTGGCCGAGAACTCCAGCCGGCGGTCGCCGGAGAGGAAGGTCGTGCGGCCGGAGAGAAAGGTCGTGCGACCGGAGAGGAATCTCCGGTGGGTTGATGAGTTGGTGAGGACGGTGAGGTGGTTGAACTTGGGGTTAATTTTGGAAATTGAGGTGGAGAGAGGCGAGGAGCTGGAAATGGAGAGCGTGGGGGAGAAGGACATTTCGGTAATTAGGCTCGCATGAGCCTCTCGGAGCTTCGGATTGGATTTTCTCTGTGATTTTCTCGAGAAAGTTACAGGAGATAACAGAAGGGGAGAGCGGGTGGGAGAAGACTTAGCTTGAAGAAGGACACGTGCAAGCGGTTGTGGATAATAGGGGGAAGAAGGCGAGTAGAGATAGTGGGTCGGGTCCAATTCGAACGGGTTATCCACCCGAACCTTGCCCACAGTAAGTAAGCAGACCCGCAATCGCCTCCATCCAACTGTCGCACCACGCACGCATATCAAAGCTCCCTTTTCCCTTAACGGAACTCCAGATCCTTTATCATAATCCATTAAATCAGAAAATCTGTATTGTTAAAATTTAATCAACAATTGAAGTTATTATAATTCTTAAAATAAACCCTTATTTGTAACCGTTGAATCTAATTTCAACGGTACGGATTATCTGATTTGTGGATTATAAGGAAATGATCCGAAGCGGATCCCTCCTTCCCACAACAAGCCCAAAGGGAAGAGGTCATCTTCGGATCCACCAAATCCCACAAATTAATTAATTCAGGATATTGAAATTTGATCAAATGACTACAAATAAAATGCATATTTAAAAGTTATAATAATTTTAATCGTTTGATCAAATTTTAAGAATCTGGAATAATTGATTGGTGGGATTTGGTAGTAGAGTTCTCAAGCCCAAACGCATGTCATCGAGCCACGTGTTTGCTCACCACGTTCTAGCCTAATAGACGTCCACGTCACCAAAAGTGGGACCCACAAACCTCAAAAGAGTAACTGAAAACGCTAAAAAACAAAAAAACCGCACCGGGGACTGCGGCTCGTCAGGGGACGTGGCAAACATTGCAATTCAAGATGGGCAACAAGGGTAAATCGGTAATATGATAAAAACATTCAGTTCCTAACAGACAGCTGCTGCGAAGTGAGGGGGCAAACTGAAAAACCTCCGCGTCTTCTTCTTCTTGTTCCTCTCCTTCTTTTTCTTTTTACTCAGACCCAAAAAACGACTTCGTTTCAAACCTGTGACGGCGTCGGGATTGAATGCATTGGCGGAAATGGACGAGTCCGAGGTTGTAATTTCGACTCTGAACTCTCCCACCAACTAACTACTTTTTTTTTTGGGGGGGGTTCTATGATCTTGTATGTGTTTGGTTTGCTGTCGGATTTTGTTTGATTTTTGTTTGGTGGTTTTTGGGATTTTTATCAGAAATTGACGGCGTTGAAGAAGGCGTACGCCGAGATAATCCTCAACACGGCGAAAGAGGCGGCGGCTCGAATTGTGGTGTCGGAGAGGAAAGCCCTGCGGTTCCAGAGGGAGCTCTTTTCGGCGAAAGACGAGGCCTTTCGGATGCTTCTTAGGCTCAAACAAATGTTGGATTCGAAGGTAACATGTTTTTGTCTCAAATGGGAAATATGGGATTGCGCTTGTCTGTTTGGATGTTGGGTTTGACTGTCCTTGATTTTCTGTGGCTTGAGTAACGTGGTTTTTGCAGTTTGGATTGGTCAAAGTTGTGTTTTTGTGAAGTAAGTTACTGTAATTTTTGTTTGGTTAAGGTTGTGTTTTTGTCAACAACAAAATATGATCAGTTGTTTGGTTAAGGATATATTTGCTTTCATTTGAAAGGGGATTTCTTGGAGAAAAAGACATGCTTGTTGTTAATTTACTGATGAAATGAATCGAGGGTTTGATTGATTTCGCCGTGTGTTCAGGCTGGCGAGGCAAAGATGATGTCCTTGAGTCAACAAGAAAAGATTGACGAACTCGAAGCGCAGCTGCAGGAAGCTGAGGATATAGTGAAGGAGCTTAGGGAAGAGTTGAGTGAAGTGCAAGCTCAACTGGAGAAGGCGAGAAGCAATCCAAGACAGCTGGATGGGCAAAATTTAGAGGGTGATACTGCTCCTCAAGTGTCAATAACATCGCAGTTGAATTTGCAGCTAGATGCAGTTGCGGCTCATGAAACGAATCCAATTTCAAATGGGACATATGAGAGGAAAGGGTGTTACAGTGGAAATGATTCTCTTAAGGATAATTACTATGTTCAAAATCCTGATTTCGCCTCGTTAGTAATGAGAAGTAAAGATCCTGAGTTATACAGAAATGGATGCACTCAGAGAATTCGTGCATTTGAAAGAAACCTGTTGGATGAAAAATTGTCTCTTTCTGGACTTGTTGATAATGGGAAGAATGTAACACTCATCAGAGGAGATGATGAACAACTGTGTAAAACCCCTAAAATAAACGGTGATAATACGAATGGGGTAGAGGAGAACCCGGAAGAGCTGAAAGTGATGCAGGCAGATGGTAGCCATATTCAAGCACCTGCCTTTATGTCCTTTCAGAAGAAGAGAAAGAGAGCAGCTAGATTTAGGAGAAGTGAAGCTCCCTCATGCAGGTATCTTGATCCTCATCAGTTGATGGAAATGCGCCAAGTATCTAATTTATCATGCCCTAGAACTTCTGCTTCTTCCCTCAATAACAGTGTTCTCGCAGATAATGCTTCCAAGAAGTCCGAAGATGAAAATCAAAAAGTCACATCATCCATTTCAACCTCAAAAATACTCCCGGATAAAACTGAAACGAGTACACAGTCGGAATGTGGTAATGTTACTGAAAATGATAGTGTTCAGAAGGCAACGAGTAATGACAAGACGTTTATTGAAGAATCCAGATTGACCGGACAGGAGTGTATATCTGCTGAGAGCTTGAAGGTTCTGGCATGCAAAGCAGATGTTGAAAAAGATTATCCATTAGATAAGTCAGATACGAAAGTATCCGATTTAGATGATGGCACCGCTAGTCAACCTGAAAACAATAAGTTTCTCAAATATACTTTCTGCAGAAAGCGCAAGAAGGACACGTTGAGCAACCCTGAAAGCAAGTCTCTTCTTGACAATGGCACTTTGGAAAGGAACACAGGCGAGGAACAAAATGGTTCTATAGAGCCACAGAAATCGAGCTTGTTGATTGAATCATCCCGGGAAAGTCGACGACTAGCACAGGTTGCTCGTCAGGTAGGGATGATCATAATATTAGTGTTTACTTCTTGTCTTCTGTGTTTCTTTGCATGTAAGTGTGCTTGTGTCACCTCTGGCTTACATTATTGTATACGAAAACTACTGGTAGAATTAGTAAAAGTCATGCAAGAAGCAAGAGTCAACTTTTTAGTGGTGAATACTGAGAAGGTCAATCTGAGTGCTTGCCTAGTTTGTCTTCTGTTCTTCCCCGAAAAGATTAAGTATGCCTGTGTTACCCTGAAAAATATTGTGAATTTGAGCCGAACTCAAGCTGGTTCAATGTTGAAATGCTGTTTGGTGTTGCCATATCAATAACCTGGAATAGGATGCCAATGACCATAGTTGTGTAAGATTGTCATTCGCCCTGATCACACCCCTTAAAGATTCATAACATTCGCCAAGAGATTTATATCTTTCCAAAAATGATCAATTGCCATGAAAAATCTCCTTCTATCAAGTTTTTCATTGTGTTTTTCAGATTCTTGAAGATCAACTTTTATTGCATTACACTTGTCCCGTTGTCGTTCTTGTTTGTTTGTTTCGCTGAAGTTTCAGATGCCTCGGAGAGATTTGCCTCCGACTTTTTTCGGATATCATAGGGCGTTGTGCTTACCTAGTCATCAACTCTTTCTTTCACCTTAATCGGAGCCTGCATTACTTTCAACTTGTTTTTGGTTTATCCCTAATTTCCTCAGCCGACGGATTGGGCAGCCTGAAGTTTTCATTGTTTAGAAATGAATATAAACAGTCAACAATCTTGTAGCTTTGAACAACTTTACCTGTTTGGAAGTTGGATGAGAATCGAATAACGTTACTTACGATACCTTGTGCGTTTTCTGTTGCACAGCTTATATCTTTGTCGGAGAAGAAGTGGCGGTGATGGAGCCCTTGACGGACTTTGCAGAGTAATGGCGAGGATATTGAAGTCGAATTAGAAAGAAAGCCAGATGAACTGCATCTGGTATAAGAGCATCAGAAGAATGGACAGTTCCATTGTTAAGGAAGAAGTGTAGAGATGCCTGAGTTAGTAGCAACATATTGGCAATGTTTTCCAAATTGCAGCATATACTAAATGATTAAATTGCAATTATTTTTTTCATTCAGAATGCTTCCTTTTGTGTATTTGTAAATGCTGCTCAAATCTCACTTAGTGAGTCACTAAATTATGAAAGAAGCTGATTATCATAACTGGTAATTACTAGTTTTACTTGGGAATTTACCTCCTCTCTTGTTCCTTTTGGTAAATAGGTTTTGGAATTCACTCATTTGCTATGCATCATTGATGAAATAATGGCTTACTAACCCGAGTAACTTAGGGCATAAATAATTCACCTCGCACATCAAACGGTTGTCAACAAAGGATAGCGCTTTTACAAAGTGTTTTTGGCTTTTTATGTCAAAAGTACTTCTAGTCATAAGCGTTTCTGCTAGAAATGCTTTTTATTATAAGCACGTAACAATTTATAATACAAGGAGGGATTTTTCCAAAGGAAGTTCACAACATGTGTTTCTCCTAAAAGCATTTCATGACCCGTAAACATTTAAATTTTTCTGTCAAACATAGTCAAAAGCGTTTTTTATTGTCACATAACACTTTTAGTCATCTCAAATCCGATTTCAAAAATACCCTTACCCACTCGAATTCAGCTCTATCACACATCCTAATCACTTGTTTAGTTACAAACTCACGCTATGCCACATCCGATATGAAAAGAGACAAAATTTGGAGTTTAAATAGTAAAAGATAGAAAAAAAAGGCTCTAAATTAGCTGTGGAACTTATTGAAGACCTCAACTCAAGCGGTTGGAGCTTGCGCGCCGCACACCCCCCCCCCCCCCCTACACACAGACGATACCAAAAAAACTCGCAGAGAGAGAGAGAGATTGAGATAGAGATGGGGATAGTGAGCAAGGCAGGGGATTGGGCATTCAAGGCGTTCACGGCGGGGCTCGGCGTCACCACTTTATACCTCACCGCCACTTTCTCCGCCAATGTCTACAAAGGCCTCGCCTGGCACAAAGCTCAATCGGTAACTCTTAACACCTCTCTCTCTGTCTCTCCAGCTAGGGTTTCCTTTATGCGTTCAATTATTGGGAATAATTTCCATGCTCTGTGATCTCGTATGAAGCATGAAAGATCGTCCCTTTTCGTTTAAACCTACCCTAATTTTTCTGTAATTACATAAATTTATAAGATATTAGGTTGTATTAGCAGTTTAATTATTGGATTAACATAACACAAATTAATTATTGGATTAACATAACACAAATTGCATCTCTGGATCTGGGTAGGTATGTGTGAATTGAATTCTGATGGGAGCTCTAGGAGAATAGAATGATAGGGTTTATTGGGAATTATAAGTTTATAACTTGAGAGGATGAAGAACCTCAGCTTAACTGATCCAAAATAAGCACCTGGGTAGATTTGGAACCAGAAATGCATTTGTTTGATAAAGTTTATGCATCCCCTACTCTGTTAGATAACCGGATATTTTGCGAAAATCGTTGCAGGGGCCGATTTCCTGTGTTCAGGGCGGGTGGTTATTCCCACATTTCGATAGTGAAAAGCTTTTGAACCCCTAACCCGGCGCTCTAATGAACAGTAGTTATTCGCGTTCCCTTTGTTTAGAGTAGAGGTTGAATGACTGCAAATTGGAAATAAGTGAGTACTGGTGTATGCTGTCGATTATGTTTGGCTCGAGTGCAATTGATGTGATTGTTATGCCAATCCTTTAACAAAATGGTGCAACTGCTTCTATAATACAAGTACCCGAGAAAACTACAACCTAGCACGATTATACATACGCGAATCCTTTTGATGGAAATATGGAATAAGGCCTCAGTTTTCGTAGTACAGATTTTCGGAGTTCCTGATCAAGTGCTTAAGATGCTATTCAAAATCTGTTAAGTGTTATCTTGTCATCAAAACTGTAAAAAAAATGACGATACAGTTACTAGTTAAATCTGAGTTTTTTGTGTTTCCAGCAGAAAATGGCGTCATTTATAATGCTTTCGTAGGCTTTCTTGTTTCAACGTTTTTCAGTAGCTCCCTAACCGAGTTTCTTTTTCTGCGCAGAAAATCGAGAAAGAGGGTGCTTCTGCTGAGCAAGCCCCTTAATTTTGAGTTTTCACGGCAATCAGGTGAGTCGGTAACCTTATTCCTCTATGAAAATTACAGTGTTGGTCTTTGTCCTTCGCGTTTTAAGTAATCGAATTAGATTTTGAACCAGTAGAGCCATCAGTTGGCTTTACTTCCAAATGCTATGGACATATTTGTGATTCGGATGACGCATTTTATTTCTACATGATTTCGATAGCTCGAATATGTAATTGTTTTTCAATATTTACTAAATAAACTTTTCTGAAATGGAAATTCATCGAATCGTATGTTCTTGGAATTCCTTTGGTGACAAGCCAGACCTTTTCATATGCCTTGAGTTTGTTCAGAATGGACCGGCCTATTAATCAGGATCCGTGGCCGTTGGATCCTTAGCCACTGGATCTTCGATTCAGGCCGATCCATTCAAGAATTGTCGCATAGACCTGGCTTCTTAAGGCAGAACATCATGATGTTGCAACTTGCAAGTATTTGCAATCATGCTTATAGCCCTAATGATGAAACATGGTTGCGTACATCAAACTAAAGGTCGGCTCGGGTCGGGTTGAGTTGGCGTTGTCCAATTCCGAAAACGAGCACTTATATGATCTATGGTCTCTACTTGGAACTGTATAAAATTGTAACGAAACAAACAACGGTTTTCGAAAGTATAGAATTCATCATCATCATATCTTAAACTCTTTAAGAGCAAGTAGTATTCAGTGAGAAGAAAGCTACAAAATGATACTCTGCTCCTCTGTACACAATACATTCTCTGTACCAAACTACCAAGAAAAATGGCATTTGTTGATAAATCACACTCCATTGAAATCTTACTGCAAAGAACAATACGAGGTGCACTTACCGAATAGCACGCAATATATACCTTTCTGTATCTTCGTTTCATCGTATGAAAGACTACTATCGTCGGTATACTCAAGAGTACGACGGTTGCATATTTTCCTGGAGGCTGCTCTTATGATAAACCGAGAAGGCGAGAATATAGCACAAACCTATTACCTTCACTTTGCCTTGATCATGCATCGATCACACCGGGCCGGCGACAAACTCAAACTTTCCGGCTGAAATCATGCTGCAGGGACTGGTAAACAGAATCTGGAAAAAGGAAATGCAAGTTAAGTTAATGCGTAGCGGTACATGGACGAGTTATTACGCGTGGAAACGTTTGTACGGTACCTGCTGATTTGACTGGCTAGCGACGTGCCATTTCTGATACACCCCTTGAGCCACTCCGAATCTCTGCCAAAGGGTTTACGATGAATCCACTCCTATCCTGGAGCGGAAACCTAAGGCTCTCCGATGTTTCAGCATTGCCACTGTCATCGGCTGTGTAGCGCATAGCTGCTGCCGGAGCAATGCCACAGGAATTAGGATACCTTGAGGTTGAGTACCTGCCTTCCGTTTTCCTCCAGAACTTGGAACTCCAAAAATCGGCACCAGGTAGCAGGCAACATGAGCTGCGGCGTGATTCAACCTTGGTCATCCTTCCACTTGACAGAGCCAAATCATATGAGATCCCATCCAGCGCTAGCTCTAGCCCATGCACACGCGTCTCCAACGAACGCATTCCAGTTTGCGAGCTACCCATGAAGTTCTAATGTAAGAAGTGAAATGAAGAAAATGATTAGAAGAAGCCCTACACCAAAATGCACTACAAGAGTTGGTTATACTCGTTAACAACAGATTAAATGTAATATAGGCATATTTAGAGCTGCAATTATCCAGGAAAACAACACAAATTACTTCGAGTAAACTCGATTTCAAGCAGTGGAAACAAACCTGCACGAGATCAAGTAAACTGGACTGCTGCTTTTCAATCTGAAGAAGTTGATTGCGGATCAGGGATAAATCCTCGCATTCTCTGCGGTTCTTATGACTATTCTCGGTAACATTACTGACTACAACGGGAGATTCCGCTCTCTCCTCATGATATGGAGCCACACGAGATCCTGACCTTGACCCACCAAATTTGTGCACTTTGTTATCGGAACTCCTATGGAACAAGGCCCGTTTTGTGTTCCCGTTGATCCTTCTTTCTGGGATATTCTCATCCGTCTCCTTAAAACCGTCGTTAAAAGCCCCAGCCGATGAGGGAGCGCTAAGCGCGCTAATCTCAGCTTCCCAATCCGAAGGCTTCTTATGACCTGGTTTCCGAAACATTCCTGGATTCACTTTCTTGTCATTACTCTTCAAAGTACTTCTGTTCCTATCAGTGGTAGCATAAGAACTATCAGGCGGAGTTGATCTACTAGCCGGAGTAGGTTTCTTCTTCAATTGGCGAGCTCCGGAACCAGGAACCTCGCAGTTTCTGGACCTAACCGGCTGGCGTCCATCACCTGCATTCTCTGGATTCATCAAAGAACCCGAATCCAATATCGATAAACAAAAGAACATCAGATAAAATCATATCAAAGACTAGAATACCTACTAATCCAATGAATTTACATAAAACTAAGATCGATTAATCATCCATTGGTATGAGCAATCAATGATTCAAATCTAGTAATACCTTTGGAGGAAGCAATCGATTGCGGCGGCGGCGAAGCCTCATCGGAGAGATCAGGAATGTGCTTCCATGCTTCCATCATCTGATTCATAACCTCCCTAACACCCTTCACCTATTGCACGCCATTTCCAAATCACCCACATTAACAAATTAAACATAATTAAGTACGCTAAAAACTCAATAATTAAATAATTATTTATGAAAACAAAAGAATTAAAATTTACCTTATCGAACTTCCGACTCTCGAACGTTCTCAAAGACCCAGATTTGAACTCCGACAACTCGTCTCTCTCCACAACCGCCAGCTTGAGCAGCGCTTCCGCCGCGGCCTTCCTCGCGGCCCAGTCCTCGCTGCTCAGGAACCCGACGAGGCAAGGAACCAAGCTCCTCAAAGCTCCGTGACCCGACGCCCCGCCCGACCCGATCACCGACCCGATCAACGTCAGCACCGCCGGCTTCGCTTTATACCCGTCGCACTTTACCAGCTTTTCGAGCTTAGGCAGCAGCCTCGCCAGCTTCGAGGGTTCCGGGTCAGGCGCGGCGTCGATTCCCGACGCCAGGCAGAGGGCCGACCCGATCTGCGAGTTCGGGTCCTGCTCCGTGAAAAGCGCGTCGGTTAACGGCTTCAGAAAAGAGCCGAAAGAAGAGGGCTTGGTACATGGCAGGAGAGGGAAGCGACGGCGGTTTGGCAGGCGGATCGGACAGCGGAGTCCGGGTCGCGGAGGCGCTTGGTGATGCTGTTGAGCATTTTGGTGAGGTGCGGGGACAGCGAGTCGCCGTGGGTTTCGGAAAGGACTGTGATCATCTGGACGCATTGTCGGCGGACAGGAGACTTGTCGGAGGCGTCGGTGGACTGGATGCAGGAGAGGAAAACTGGTACGGACGCCGGGTCGAGGGTTCGGGCTATGGATTCGAGTTCGGAAGCTGCGAGGGAGTAAGTGTCGCGGTCGGAGAGCTTATTCAGGCAGATGAAGACCCGGTGCTTGAGGTTCTGGGCGGGAGGCATTGTGGATGAAGCCAGTTTGGTGGAGTCGAATCGAGTTTACGGGTCCGGTGGCGGAGCTTCCGGAATCTCCAGCAGCATTGCCGGAGGAGCTGACGGTGGTTCTGTCGGTGTGTTTTTGGAGAGAAAGGTGGTTCGAGGCTTTGCGCTTTTTAAACTGAAAGAGAAAAAGGAGTCGGTGCGCGGAAGTTTTCAGGTCGGTAATGATGACGGTGTCGTTTAGGTAAGGGGATGAAGTCGTTATTCGTTAATTTCCTGCTTAAGAGTGATTATGATTAATGACTGGCTGGGTGAAGGATTACCAGTTTTTTACTTCACTCAAGGACAGTTTAGTCATTAAACCTTGCTGGATTTCCAAATCACCATCGATTAGTATATACCATTTCCATATATTTGTTTTATTTCTGCATTCTCTTCATAAATAAAAAAGTAAATTGTAGCTATGGTCCCTTAACTTTAACTCAATTGGAGCAATGGTCTCTCAACTAAAAATTCATTACCTTTGGTCCCTCAACTTATCAAAACGTGCAGCTATGGTCCCTCAACTAAAAATTCATTACTATTGGTCCCTGAACTTTAATTCAAGTGGAGAAATGGTCCTTTAACTTTAATCCAATTGTAGCAATGGTCCTTACAATATAACTCGTTTTGACAAATTTTTTGACATAGTTGACGAAAAGAACCATAATTATACACTTTGATGAGTTGAGGGACCCTAATTATATAAATGGTCATTCCAACATAGCTTATTTTGACAAAATTTTGACAAAATTGATGAAAATGACTATAGCTACACATTTTGATAAGTTGAGGGACCAATGGTAATGGATTTTTAGTTGAGGGACCATTGCTCCAATTTGATTAAAGTTGAGGGACCATTTGTACAATTTACTCTAAATAAAATACAAAAGAAATAAAAGAAAAATAAAACTGTGAAATCAATTTATTTTAGTAGATTATGTGCTTTCTCAAAAAAAAAAAAATTATGTGATGTAACGGTTGATAATTAAATTATTTTTTATAATCTAAAAAATAAGTTGAATCATTAACGATCACATCATGTGATTTACAAAATATGATTCAAGTAGATGAAGAGATTTTTCAATGTGTTAGATCGCGGTCTGATAGATTAAGTGTCATAATACAAATGGTTGAATACTTGAAAAAAACTTTTACCACAACTTGTATTATGACATTTGTTGTATCGGGTCCTATTTACGACAGACTGAAAAGTTTCTTCATCTAATGAGGAGTGGTTCACGTGAGCTCGACACCATGCTAGAATCGGATTGGTCCAATTGGGTAACTTTAAGAAAAGGGCGGAGTGGTTCACGTGAATAATTTTAACGCCGGCAGTAAATGGTCATGGCTGGTGGGTGGGTTAATTTTGGGCCTAGCATTAAGGTGGTCACGTGACCGTTGCTACCCTTGGGGAGTTAATCATGCCAAATTCACTGTGCCTACATTTTTTTTTTTTTAACAAACGATATTATCTATATTAAGGGAAGAAGATATTATTAGTCTTACACTGAGCTAGCAATAATGTGATTCAAATTCGGCTTTGAAGATGATCGAACCTAAGATTTTTCACTTACAAGTGAAAAGGAATATCACTAGATCGTAGTACTAAGTGATAATAAATTATTACAATTGTAGTGAAAGAGATCTAGTAATGCATTTGATATGCAACTAAATCATAACATAATGCATAGATCATGTTGAAGAACTAATTAATTAAAGAGTATTAAACTAAATGTTTG